CCAGACCTGATTCCAGACCTGATTCCAGACCTGATTCCAGACCTTCCCACCCCCAAACCCCCTTTTCCTGGGCAAGTCCAGCAGGAGAAAAACCTTCCGGGGGGGGTCACTGGGGGGGTTTGCACCAGAATTCCGGGTGTTTCCATCGGAATTCCAGGCGTTTCCATCAGAACTCCAGGCGTGGAGCCGGAGCCGAGGGCTCAGATCCAGAGGGCTCAGATCCTGAGGGATTGGATCCCGAGGGCTCAGATCCCGAGGGCTCAGATCCCAAGGGATTGGATCCTGAGGGCTCAGATCCGGAGGATCTGGGCAGCCACACAGGGGTTCCTGCGCGGCTCCGTGGGTGATTCCGTGGGTGATTCCCTCGGCTCTTCCCGGTGGATCCAGAGGCGGCCGAAGGTGCCCCCGGCCCGGCCCTTGGTCAGCTGCCCGGGGTTGATGCAGACACAGCCCAGGACGTCCTGCGGGAATGGGGAATGTGGGAATGGGGAATGTGGGAATGGGGGAATGTGGGAATGGGGGAATGGGGGCACGGGGAGGGTCAGAGTATGGCTGGGGGGGGGTGAGAACACCTGGATCCAGCTGGGATGAGTGACAAAAACACCTGGATGGGTGTTGGGAACACCTGGATAGAGTGGGATGGGTATTGGGAACACTGGGATACACCTGGATGGGTGTTGGGAACACCTGGATCCATCTGGGATGGGTGTTGGGAACCCCCAGATCCAGCCAGGGGGCTGTTCAGAGTCACCCTGGACCCCAAGAGTCTCCAGCTCCCACTGATCCAGACCCCAGGAGCTGACCCCTCCTTGACAAAGAACCAGGGATTTGGGATCTGGTTTGGGATTTGGGATCAGGGATTGGGCTCAGGGCTCATGGATCTGACCTTGATGAAGAAGTGCAGCTGGGAGTTGGGATCAGGGCTCAGGGATTGGGATCAGGCATCAAGGATTTGGGACCAGGGCTCAGGGATTTGGGATCAGGGCTCAGGGATTGGGATCAGGGCTGTGGGATCAGGGCTCTGACCTCGAGGAAGAAACAGGGATTTGGGATCAGGGATCAGGGCTGTGGGATCAGGGATCTGAGATTGGGATCAGGGCTCAGGGATGGGATCAGGGTTCAGGGATTTGGGATCAGGGATTGGGCTCAGGGATCAGGGATTGGGCTCAGGGCTCTGACCTTGATGAAGAACCTGAGCTGGGAGGGGGTGATGAGCACGTCGGGGGTGAGGGGCAGCCGGGCCCCGAGCGCTGCAACCTCGTGGTGAACGTTCAACTCCTCCGACGGAGGGTACAGGGGGTAGAAACTGGGGGGCACAGACAGTTATGGGGCACACACACAGTTTGGGGGCACAGACACAGTTATGGGGCACGGACACAGTTATGGGGCACACACACAGTTTGGGGGCACAGACACAGTTATGGGGCACAGACAGTTATGGGGCACAGACACAGTTATGGGGCACACACACAGTTTGGGGGCACAGACACAGTTATGGGGCACAGAGAGTTTGGGGGGCACAGACACCTCCAAGGGTGGGTACAGGGGATAGAAACTGGGGGCACAGACACAGTTATGGGGCACAGACACAGTTATGGGGCACAGACACAGTTTGGGGTCCCCAACCCCAAAAAGGGCCTTTTTAAGGTCAAAAATTATTTCAAAGGGGGGACGGGAGAGGATTTGCCTGTTTTGGGGTCATTTTGGGGCTGTTTTGGGGCTGTTTTGGGGCCGTTTTGGGGCTGTTTTGGGGCCGTTTTGGGGCTGTTTTGGGGTTGTTTTGGGGTTGTTTTGGGGCTGTTTTGGGGTTGTTTTGGGGTTGTTTTGGGACCGTTTTGGGGTCGTTTTGGGGCCGTTTTGGGGCCATTTTGGGCCCTCACCTGCGCTGGGTCAGGATGTGCCACAGGATCCGCGTGAAACGGTCGGAGATCCCGGAGGAGCTGCGGGAAAAGGGAGGGAAAGGGGGAAAATGGGGGAAAATGGGGGTAAGAAGGGAAAGGGGGAGGAAAGTGGGGGAAGGAAAAAAGGGGGGAATTAAAAGGGGGAGGGAGAAATGGGGAAAAAGGGTGGGAAAGCAAGAAAGGGGAGGAAGAAAAAGGGGAGAAAAAGGAGGAGGGAAAGTGGGGAAGAAGAAAAAGGGGGAAAAGGGGAAAAAATAAAAAGGGGGAAGAAAAAGGGGGGAAGGAGGAAGAAAAAGGGGGGAAATGGGGAAGAAAAAAGGGGAGGAAAAGTGGGGAGGAAATGGAAAAGGAGGGGGGAAAAAGGTGGGAAAATGGGGAAAAAAGAGGGGAGGAAAAAGTTGAAAAATGGGGATAAAAGAGAAAGAAAAGGTTAAAAAAAAGCGGGAAAAAGGGGGAAAAGGGGGAAAAAGGGGGAAAAAAGGGGGAAAAGGGCCCCACCTGCTGATCTCCTCAGCTCCCATGTGGAAGAGCACGTCCGTGGAGCTGAGCCCCAGCACCACCCCGTCGATGTCCAGCGTGCAGGGCTCGGGCAGCAGCAGCACCCGCTGGGACATGGGGATCATGTCACACACGGGGCACAAACCAGCACAAAACACCCCCAAAATGCCCCAAAATACCTCAAATCCCACCTCAAATATCCCAAACCACCCCCAAACTGCCTTAAAATACCTCAAACCCGCCCCAAAACACACCAAAACTGCCTTGAAATATCCCAAACCTGCCCCAAAACACACCAAAACTGCACCAAAATACCTCAAACCCCACCTGAAATATCCCAAACCCCACCTGAAATATCACAAATCCCAAAATACCCGAAACCCACCCCAAAATACCCCAAACACCCCAAAATTGCCCTGAAATACCCCAAAACCCCACCTGAAATACCCGAAACCCACCCCAAAATACCCCAAACCCCCCCTGAAATATCCCAAACCCCACCTGAAATACCCCAAAACTGCCCCAAAATACCTCAAACCAGCCCCAAAATACCCCAAA